ATCTTTAAACAGTCACAGACGTATGCAAAGTGAACATATGGCTCCTTTCTAAACATGGAGTTGGAGTTAGTTATGTATTGAAAATCCCAGGACCTCACAAACAGAGCACTGTATTTAATCTAGAGTTGCTTGGTGTGTTATTGATATTTTGCTTTCTTTCCAGGATAATCTGTAACAACTGTGTGTTCTTAGATTTATAATGTGCTCACATTGATATTAGCAATTTGTCAATGTGTTTACTTTCAATGTAGCATCATATGAGATGAACAATGAATTACGCCTTTCCATAACAGCGGTCAAGAGGAGATAGGCCACACATGACTTCAAAAACACTTAAGTGTCTGTAGAATAGAAATCTGTATCATGGCTTACACAAATCTTGAGATAAAAAGTACGTTTTAACTACTGTTGCTTTGTACTGACTTGACAGATGTATTTCTAACTTTTTTGGCTGTAGGCTAACTTGGAAAAAGAGATCTCAGAACATGCATTTTATATTACATAAATACTAATTAAGGATAAAAATCCTTGTGGTTTCTGAAAAATACTATTTTCCAACAAAAGTAAGTTTAATGTCTGGTTTAATAATGTATTTTTGCCCTTCAGGAAAGAACTATCTGACATGAATTTGGTAACACCGTAATATATTGATCCAGACCTTTTTAACAAGAATTTTCATAATGTATTAGGTTCGGGTTTTTTCCTTCGTCTCCAAAAAATTCTTTACTTGTATTTTAATACTTGCTTTTCATGTTTTGGAAGATCCAGATGTGTAGATCAGTGCTGTGAGGAACCCAGCAACTAGGCATCACATCGCTGCTTGTTCACTTCCCTCCGCAATGGGATGTGGGAGGGAATTGAAAGGGTAAAAGTGAGAAAACTCATAGGTTGAGATTAATAGATAAAGCAAAAGCTGTTCACGCCAGCAAAGCAAAACAAGGAACTCGTTCACCATTTCCCATGGGCAGGCAAGTGTCCAGCCGTCTTTGGGAAAGCAGGGCTTCGTTATAACGCTGACTTGGGAGGACAAATGCCATCACTCTGAAGGTCCCTCCATTCCTTCTCCTCTCCCCAAAGTTTATATTCTGAGCATGACCTCATATGGCATGGAGTGTCCTTCTGGTCAGTTGGGGTCAGCCGTCCTAGCTCTGTCCCCTCCCAACTTCTAGTGCACCCCAGCCTACTCATAGAGTGGGATGAGAAGCAGAGAAGTCCTTCATTCTGTGTAAGTGCTGCTCAGCAATAATAAAAACATCTGTTATCAACACTGTTCCCAGCACAAATCCAAAACCCAGCTCCATACTAGAAGAAAACTCTTTCCCAGCCAAAACAAGCACAGTCAGCATCCCCAGGGTTCCACTTGTTTCATCTTCTTTGCCTTTGTGATCCATTCAAAAGCGTAAGTTGCTGGTATCTGTTTGAGCTTGGTTCCAGCTGTCCATTGGATATGCAAGAAGTGTTCACCTCTGGATCCCTGCTTAAGAAGAGCCAGCTCCTAGTTAGCATGGATGATCAAAGCCTGTGCACAAAAAAGGGAGCAAGCTGGTTCGGCAGGGATCCCTGCTAGGGATGTCCAATTTGGTGAGGGCAAGCTGGACTGTTAATTTGTAGCTCTGAATTTGTATTTTAAGAGACTGGTCACGACTTTCTTGACTTTAGATATATTTAAAGGATGTTGCCTATGTTTATAACTATAGTTCAGAACAGCTATTTCAGTAAGGATGGGGAAAGAG